CAGCAGGAAAGGACAGATCAGGCAGGTTCTCCCCCCTGTGCATGCTGAAGGGGTCTGGCAGGAGACAAGAACAAGGCCAGTGTCACCACAGGGGGAAGACATGAAACAGAGGGAGGTTATTTAAAGAACAAGATGAAGATGCACCCAACACCACAGCTGGACTTCGGAGGGAAAGCTGCTCTCAAGATCATTTACCAGGGGCAAATGCCTCCAGAATTTGAATTTCTAGCCACCAGTAGCACCCAGTTGCTCAGACTGCTTCCCAGGGGAAAGGGACTCAACTTCAGACTACCACTGCTGCATGGAGAACCTGACTCCTATTCTCAAGGAGGAAGCACCTTGTTCCTGTGCTGCTGGACACGCTCAGCTAACCTGAGCTGGAGCAGGGACTGAGCTCTAGGCCAGGTAACCTGACAGCAGACCCTGGAGGCTGCAGGCTCTCCTCCCAGGAACAGCCCCCAGGACAACCTGACTGCTGGGCCAGTGTCTGAACCAGGTTACAAGCCAGGAGGCAAATCACACATTTCCCAGAGTACCAGGCAGAGGAACAGCTTTGGCTTTCAGTTCCAGACCAGATGCACAGGTGAGGACCACCAGGCTCTTCAGTGCATGTTTCCAAGTTGTCTGGTCTCAGTTTTGCTTGGTCCCACCTGCAGTAACTTTGTTCTGCTTTTGGTCCATGTTTTAGAGTGGATGCATCAATGTCCTCTGCAAAGGATGCTGAACATTCAGCAAGAGAAAATTCCTTTCCTGCAAGTTCTCTTTTTTTATCTCCTTTCCTCTCAAGTCATCAACATGAACATTCAAACCAGATGGGACAGGGAACACCACCATGCTGGGTTTAAGAAGATGGATTCATTTAACTGCAATCCCAGGAGTCAGAGAGTAGGCAGATGACCTCACTGACAGAGTAAAATGAAGAAAAGATGACTCTTCACAGGATGACAGAATGGGTTTGGTTGGAAAAGACCTTTAAGATTACCAAGTCCTACCATAACCTAACTCTACCAACCATTAACCCAACTCTACCAAGTCCAGTGCTTAAACCATGGCCCTCAGCACCACATCTACATCTCTTAAACACCTCCAGGGACGGTGATTCAACCAGCTCCCTGGGCAATGACCATTTCAGTGACGAAGTTTCTTGTAATCTCCAACCTCCACCTCCCCTGGCACAACTTGAGGCCGGTTCCTCTTGTCCCATCCCTTGTTCCTGGGGAGCAGAGCCCGACCCCCCTGGCTCCAACCTCCTCTCAGGCAGCTGCAGAGCCAGCAGGTCTCCCCTCAGCCTCCTTTGCTCCAGGCTGGACACCCCCAGCTCCCTCAGCTGCTCCTGCTCACACTTGTGCTCCAGCCCCTTCCCCAGCTCCCTTGCCCTTCTCTGGACACGCTCCAGCCCCTCCATGTCCTCCTTGTCCTGAGGGGCCCAGACCTGACACCAGCATTCCAGGTGCCCCCTCCCCAGTGCCCAGCACAGGGGGATGATCCCTGCCCTGCTGCCCACCCCAGTGCTGACACCAGCCAGGATGCTGTAACTGACACTACAGTCCTACAAGCACCACAGTCCTACCAGCCATCTCCATGGGTTTGAACACTGGCTGCTGCTCAAAGCACAGGTCTCTGTCATCCACTGTCCAGGACTCGTTGCGATCAAGAAAATCTTTGTACGACATCTTTTCATCCATGATTTCTCCTGGGAAGACTGAAATTAGAGAAGAAAATGACACAGTCAGAAATGAAGCATTAAGCTAAAATATTTCAAATCATTACTGCATGATATGACATCCAGAGGCCAAGAGATGACATCAACTGTTCAGCAAACCAGGACCTTGGATATTCATATTTTACTGCTTTGATCCAACTCTTCAAATAACAGAAACAGAGTCATGGGAATTTTACCATCCTGACACACACACAGGATCAAGAGTGGACCCACACGTCAGTGCACACTTTAAATGCAGGACAATTCACACCAGCTTCTCACACTCAGCTGGAGGGGGATTTTTCATTAGTGTAAGAGCTGGAACAATCCTGAGAGCCTGAGCTCTCCAGCAAAGCTTTCAGGTCCATCAGCACAGAGATGCTGAACACAACCTGCTCATCAGGTCACAGTGGGAGGGTGGGGAACCAAAGCCCCTTCCTATCTTGCCCAGGCACGACTTGTAAGGACTGAACCTGACCAGACTTACCAAGATGTCAGTACACCAAGTCACACAGCACCCACAGGATGGTTTTCCTCTCTGTTTGACTAGGAAGACAATCTCTCAACCACCTAAGTGAATCCCTTTTCCCTGAATACCTCAGAGGCCTTTATCTGTGAGCCTTTGTGTTCCACACTCAGCTAAACCTTCCCCCAGTTAACAATAAGGACAGTTCTCTCAACACTTCAACACATCAAAGCCTGATGCTTTATTTCTGACTAAGGAAAATGTTAATTTTCTTTTGCTGGCCCCTGTTATAAACAACTGCCCTGAGACCAAGAACCCTCAGCAACCTGAGGCAGCACAGTGTTATTACCAGAACCTTGGGAGGCACCTTTCACAACCTGTAAATGTTGCACAGAAAAATGCATGGAAATTAAGAAGTGAGACTCCATGAGGCTATTTCAATCAGGTTTGTCACTAGGAATATTGAACATGTGCAGATCAGCCTTCTCCTGAAGTCCTTACAAGCAGCTGGCAGATGTTAAGAAAACTAAAGGAAGAAAGCTCAGCTGTGAGCTGAGACACCCTCCAGCAGCAGCACCAAGACACGTGCTGGGCTCTCCCCTTCTATGCTTCAAAATGGGGGGGTTTCTTAAATTTATTTCTCCATTTTGCTCCAGCCTGTTTTCTTCTCCCAGCATAGAACCTTGGGATGAACTAGTGATAGTGTGGCTAACTGGGCCTTCCCCAAATCTTTGTCTAGTGGGAGGTGTCCCTGTCCATCCAGGGGGGTTGGAACTAGATGATCTTTAAGGTCCCTTCCAACCCAAACCGGTCTGTGATTCTGTGATAAGCAAGAGCCTGTAGCTCCCCTGCACCCACAACACACAGATGTAGGAAACACTGACAGCAGCCCCAGATGCACCAACATCTTCACAAACAAGAGGATTTCACCTCTGTCCAGGGAGGTTGGGATTTAGAGGTCTCTGAGATTGCTGCAGGCCTCTAAATCCCAGGGCTGGGTCCAACTCTGGGATCCCCAGCACAGGAAGGACATGGAGCTGTTGGAGCAAGTCCAGGAGGCCCCAGAGATGCTGGGAGGGCTGGAGCAGCTCTGGAGCCAGGCTGGGAGAGTTGGGGTGTTCAGCCTGGAGAAAACAAGGCTCCAGGGAGACCTGAGAGCAGCTTCCTGGAGGGCCTGAAGGGGCTCCAGGAAAGCTGGGGAGGGGCTTGGGACAAGGGCAGGGAGGGATGGGAGCAGGGGGAAGGGTTTCCAGCTGGCAGAGGGAGCTGGAGCTGAGATGGGAGGGAGAAATTCTGGGCTGTGAGGGTGATGAGACCCTGGCCCAGGTTGCCCAGGGAAGCTGTGGCTGCCCCATCCCTGGCAGTGTTGAAGGGCAGGTTGGATGGGGCTTGGAGCAGCCTGGGCTGCTGGGAGGTGTCCCTTCCCATGGCAGGGGGCTGGATCTAGACGATCTTTAAGGTTCCTTCAACCCAAACCACTCTGAGTCTATGATTCTGTGCTTCCAGCTCCCAAGCTGACCTGGATGGGGACATCCCAGGTGTGCTCTACTTCCAAGGCCTGAGAAATGTTGCACCTGACATGGGTGCAGTGAACAAAAGGGACTGGATCTTCAAAGGGACATGAGACAGACCATTCCCAAGACTGCTCATGGCACCAGCGTTTGAACTTGGGTGTCCCACAAGAAATAACCAAACAAGTGACATGCTGGGAACATGCTTTTTTCCTACAGAGATTTAAAACGCACTGAACGTGCCCTACCAGCCACAGGTTGGGTACTGACACACCATGACAAGACAGGCAATGACTTTGGGAAGAGATATTATGCGCTAATAGAAGTTTTTAATTGTAGAAAAGTTCCTATTCAGATTGTGAACCAACTACACAGAAATGAAATGCAGTTCTTTACCCTCACATGCACTCTGAGGGCCACAGAATGAGAATTCAAAGTGTGATTCTAATACACACCAGATGTACTACTTTGCTTCTGTGTAAAACACCACCAAGGGAAAGCACTGAAGCACTGCTTTGGAATTAATTTAATTTCTGGCCATCAGCAGAGTTATTCTGCCTCTCATGCTACACCCCTGCAGATGCTCCAAGCACCCCAAAGCCGTGCTGACTTGGCAAGCAGATGCTGCTTTTCTGCCAGTGGCTTTTAGCTGTTCTTCTGCCAAGTGAGACATTTGACATGGTTGAGTTCAGCAGAGAGGATCCAGCAGCTGCCCAGGCCGGGCTGCAGGACCCCTCTGCCTCCTCTGTGCAAAGGATGGGGCAGAACCGTGGGCAAGGAGCAAGAGGAACGGAGACACGTGAAGGCAACAACCCCCTTGTCTTGAGCAGGAGAGTCAGCCCAGGCAACAATGGCTGCAGCTTCAGGGCTGACAATTTAAGCAGGAAATATTTTATTAAGGCAGACCACGACTGTTTAGATTTGCAAAGCACTTCACAGACAACATGTCACTACATGTGTCAAGAGACATTATTATTTAAGATTATTTGCGGCGCAGAACAGCAAGGGATTGAATTATATTCACTGTAAATTCTTCTGAAAGGGAACCTGTCATTCCTCTGTCTGTACAACTCCCCTCAAAGCAAAACAAAAAAAGCAGGAGACTGCGAATGTCCTTCTGAGTGTAAGGAAGAGGCTTGGGAGCAGCTAAAAATTTGACATGATCTTTCCCAAAGATGATTTTAACTGATTTCTGGGTTGGACCCATGCTAAGTCTGACCAGAGCACACACTGGTTGAACTCTGATCCTGCCATAAATCTATGGGCAGCAGAGCACAAATAACACTGGCACGTTGCTCTCACTAACAGATCTCACAGGGGAAGAATGTAAAATTGGGGTCACAACAGGGAAACCAGAAGTAAAACCTCCCTTTATTATTTTTAATAGACAGGTTGTATTTGTGCCTTTAAGTCAGAGGAGGGGAACCTGCCTCAGCCACACACCCTGCTGGAAATCGAGGGAGCAGCCCAGTAGGGCAGCAGAGAAGTGTAAAGGGAAACATTTAGAAGAGACATCAGATTAAATTAAACCTCTGTAACAGTGTAGCAGAACTATTGGGTAGGAAACACTGACAGCAGCCCCAGATGCACCAACATCTTCACAAACAAGAGGATTTCACCTCTGTCCAGGGAGGTTGGGATTTAGAGGTCTCTGAGATTGCTGCAGGCCTCTAAATCCCAGGGCTGGGTCTAACTCTGGGATCCCCAGCACAGGAAGGACATGGAGCTGTTGGAGCAAGTCCAGGAGGCCCCGGAGATGCTGGGAGGGCTGGAGCAGCTCTGGAGCCAGGCTGGGAGAGTTGGGGTGTTCAGCCTG